CTAGATGAAAAACTTGATTTTGCAAACTAATTAATATAAATAAACATATATATGGTCTCGATGTCAATGTTAAAAAATTAAATTACATTCTTAATAGATTAAAAACCTAATCAGTCATATATAGTTAGTCATAAAGAAATTTAATGAAATATTAAAAATACCATTTATACTTTTAAAAATTAATAAATAACCAAAATAAATAAAATATCTAAAAAAATATTTAAAAAATATCTATCAAAAATTCACATTCATTTTTAAAAATAAAATATATTATTGCATGTCAAAAATATAAAAATATTACATTATATTTTGAAGTTATTTGTATCCGTAAATTTGCGGTCACCCACCTAGTGATACCTAAACTAATAGAACATTTGAATTTTTTATTTTTTGTAACACATTGAACATTTGAATTTATTACCTAAATTTGAAAGAAAAATTTCTTAAGTGCATATGACCGACACCGTGTCAGTTAACTGATAATATTTATTTCTGATATGTTAATATGGAAGAAACGATGTTAAATAAACAATACGTCATTAACCATTTATGCTAGAATAAAAATAACTTTTATGTATGAAAAGGAAAAGTATATTCTCTTTTAATTAGAGATTCACTTCCTATTTTTTTTCATCAACAACAACAAATGTCAAAAACCAAAAAAAAAAAAATCTTAAATTTTGACTAAAAATTTATTTTAATATAATATATATATATGTTTTCTAATATTGAGTTACAATTTATATATTTATCTTTTGAATTCTTTATTATTGTTAGAAGTATCATACATTCTTGCATTTATTATTCAGTCTATACAATATTGATTTTAATAGTATTGAATATTTAATAATGTAAAGTAATTTGTTTAATTTTTTTAGTTCATGTTCTTAATAATCTGATAATTTTCTAATTTTTTTAATAATATACATTTATCTAAATTTACAAGTTTTTTCATTTAAAAAACATTATAATAAATTAAAGTTAAATCAAATGCTTGGTAATGTTTATCAAATAATTTAATATAATGATAACTTGTTGAAATTAGTATTAGAAATCTAGTTATATATATTTTTTTTAATTGAACATCAGTTCTTCACTAGCACAAGTGGTTAATGCTTGTATTGTTTGTGTAAAAGTGTTTTTTTTTTCTTTTTTTTTTTCCTGATTCAAAACCACCTTGTTTAGGTTAGCACCTCAGTATGTTAGAGCATGTTTATTGGAGAGACCTTAAAATGGGTTGCTTAATTTTTCTTTTTTTTTTAAAACAAAAATTAATAATGAACCAATCGGGCTATCACATGTCGATGGGGTCCGCGAACAGTGCAAGCAACAGCCAAAATGGATTGCTTAAATAAGCAATTTAAGCAATGTTGCTTAATTATTTTGTGGGGTCAATGTTTTAACAACCCTCATAAACAACCCCAATAAACATGCTCTTACTATGTTACTGACATGTTGTCGGCCGTAGATATTTAAAATATTTTATTTTAAGTTCAGATATTTAACTCAAACTTTTTACTAGTTTAGGTATCATATCTTATACGTAAATAGTTTAGGTATTAGAGATATGACCCTAGCTTGGGTACTAATCGGCCAAATTTCCTAAGCACCTCATGGAATCCAGTTTAATTCACAATCCAAGAAATCATACATTTATTCGAGGTGAATCGTTAGTTTAACTATATTCCGATTTAACTGGAAAAGTGGAATCATTTTTGAGAAAATGGCGGGAATCGTGTCACTGTCCTAGGGTTTTGTAGACCTAATGATTGTGCCTCCTCATTTTCTGCATCTTAACTCTTTTTTTTTTGGTCAACATAAAAGAGCATTAGCATCTTAACTCTTATAATTAGATTTCATTATCAACTTTGTAATATTTCTATTTTTAGCCAAAAAAAAAAAGAGAATGTTTCAAGCTAAAACATAAAAGAGCATTAGCATCTTAAGGATTAAGTCATTTTTATGTTTACCAGGTCGTTTTTCGCGCTACGATCGGATAATTCCTATTATATAATCCGATTGATTTTGTGGTGTGAGTATCGAATATTGTAGAATTTTCTGTGTTAATAAAACTTTTAGTGTGGATGAGACAGTATAAGAAAGAGACATGCTCTGAATTTTGTTATTTAAAATTTGTATAAGTTTTTTTCATCACATTTTCTGTAATAATTTTTTTTTGTTAATTGGGCCAAAATATCAAAATTGAATTTAGAATGATAAATAATTCTCAAGATATCGGGAAGTTATTCTTAATTATGTTTCTTGATTATAATCTTATGAGCTGTAATGAAACTATATGGTAGTTCATGCAAATAAAAACTATTAGTTAGTATATATCAGACTTTTAAGTTTATATTCTTTTTATTTTTATATATTATATGGATATACTTGTCAGTATGGCAATTTTAAATCTCCGATTACTTATGATATTCAGCTCACTGAACATAAATCCTTGGTTGTCCCATAGTATAAGATCTACATCTTGACGAATAGGCTAACACAGAATTTATGCTATGTCAAAAGAAAATCACTCAAGAGCTTAAGAAACAACCTATTTGCTTAAAGTTCTAAGCTTTCTTCTTAGAAAGCAATCAAATATTTTAAAGTCCGAACCATTCTTTTGAGATTGGATCATTGAGTTGACTATAAAAATTGCTTACGTATGAAAGTGGATTATAAAAATTTCTAGAAATGCAAAAAGATTTCCAGAATGGTTTTAATGACTCTTGTAGCAATTTCTAGTTGTAAGCTATCACCATATTTTACTACATGTATTTTATTAGGTATATACACTAAAAATTACATATGTTTTGAATATTTGTTTCATAATAGAAATGAAAAAATATAAATATTTTTTTGGTTCTCACTTTCTGTAATATTTAGCTAATTACGATATTTTAAACTTGATAATTTTGTTCAATCTTAAATATCTTTCAACTTTTAGAATGAAACAAACCAAGATAATTAAAATACGTAACTTTCACAGAATTACTAAATAGAGTATTTGTGATTAGACAAACAAAGATATAGTTTTATGTCTTCCAGTGTTCTAAATATTTTTGTAATACATGCCTAGAAAATTGTATATATTTAAGAAAGTTAGTTTACCAATGCAATGATGAAAGAAAACCATCATTATCTATTCTGTTTGTTATCATTAATTAAAAAAAAAATTACTTCAACATTGTGTATATTTTCCCTATTTGTCTCTTATTTTAATTGATAAAAGTTTTTTAAAAAATTAGAGTTTAGAAAATATTTACTCATGCTTTTTTGCACTTTTATTTTACCTAGATATTTTTCGACGTGTTTAAATTTTGTAACTTTATAAATATTTTGTTCTGTTTTTTTTATTTATAATGTTCTTTTAACCTAATAGCTTACTTTCTTTTTGTTTCGTTCATAAATTTTACTCTTTCCGTTTCATAATGTAAAACGTTCTAGAGAAAATTTGATGATTAAAAATGTAAGATATTTTGTCATTTTTAAGTTTTTTTTTTAACTTTCTTGGAATTTGGTTAACTAATAATACTATACTTTATTATTTTAATTCCTTAACTCATTTTAACTGTATATTATTAATAATATTTGAGTAAAATTGATTATTTTATGACCAAAATATCATATAATATGAACAAAATAGTACTCTAAATGCTTTTCATCATCAAATTCTTGTTTGAAATTTGTTGCTAACTTTGTAAGTTACTCTGATTGCATTACTATTTAAATAAAGAACATAAACTGGTTAAAATTTGAATTTAAATATGGTTGACTGTGACTATACTTTTTGAAAACTAAATAATATATACTTTAAATCTGAGAAACTAAATAAATTTTTATCCGAGTAAAATAAAATCACAACTATGAAATTTATAGGTTGACCAAAAAAAATATGAAATTTATGTTACTTTGAAATCAAATTTTCGTCTAGGTAGTATATTGGTTATTCTTATGCATACACTGATAATACCAAATTAAATAATTCTTTAGGGATAATAATAAGAACAATTCAAACCAAATGACAGAGTCCGAGACAACTATGAATGAAAAGGCTAAGAAAATTGTGAAACAAAAAAAAGTAAAAGAACCTGAGAGTGACTCAAAAGAGGCAAATGTTTGGCTCAATGGTGATCATACCCTATAGAGTTATAGGCATCAAAACTTAGAAGTCAAAAGTACTCTGAAAACTGTGTAATACGACAATGGAAGAATCAGCTGTTGCTTGGTTCAGCTAAGTCAAACAATAAAATTCGCTGATGGGAAACATAACTATAACAGGAGCAATTTTAAGATGATGGTGGAGAAATACTTACCGTGTGTACAATCTCTCTGATAGCTAGAAGCATGCAACTCATACTGCAAAGCAAATGCTTTGACTCACTTTCTAAGCTCAAATATGTTTTTGTATGTGCATAGAGTCTGCACATACTCCTGGTGCGGCTTGCCATATTTTCTATGCAACGCACTTGTTATATGAGCTGCCTTCATCAGAAAATCCGCACCATACCAAGATAAGTATATAATAGATATCTCTCTTAAAATGAGAAAATATGTATAGGCTAGATGAATGATGGAAACCCATTTGAAGAGATGAACCTAAATTCATGATTATCACCACCGACAAACTTTAAGAAATGTTCTAATTTTTCAGGTAAAGTAGGCTTGCAAGTACATAAATATGTGGTGGATGTTTTTTGAATAGATTAAAATCCATCTATGTCTCTAATATTACTCTACCCAAATTTCTTAAATGTATATAAACTGACTTTGCTGAAACATAAGAAGTCCATCAATCACACCAGACCTCTCATTTGATCACGCCACATGTATACATATTATTTTCCTCTATACTACTAAGCTGCACAATCATATAAATGGTGAGAGATCAAATCATTATCACAAAGCGGCAATTCAGAAAGAAGTTTTCTTGATTAGCAATACCTTATGACAACCAAAATAGTTTTCTGCACAGAAACTATATCTGACTGCAAGATTGGAGCTCATATGCTTCTCAAGAAATACGCAAAGTCTGTAAAAAACATGAACAAGAAAGCGAAAGGTCATATAGATAAAACCTCATTAACCATGTGCTTCTTGGAAAGATGAAACTGGACAAGAGGAGCAATGTGGCAATGGGTAATCATAGTCAAATCAGTAAGCTTATATGTATCCAATCTGAGATTCTTATTAACATATATCCCTACAAGTATGAATCGACCAAATTAATCTTGAAAAGAACATAAAAAAACCCAAATTATTATTTTTATTAAAGTGAATGGCAAACCTTGTGAATTCATCTTAGGAATCTGTTTCGCCTGCTCAAATTCATGATGGATCTTTGAGATGTCATCATCTTCTGTAGAAAACAAAACAATTTAATTTAATCGGGTGACTGACATAGAAGGAAAATGTGATGGGAGAGCATTTAGAAGACCTCACCATGTTGGGTTTAATGACTGGAACATAATAACCATCTCTGCAATGACGTAAAGAAAAAGATCAGAAGCTAGATTATAACCTACTAAAACACACAGAAGTAAGTTTTAAAACTGATGATAGTATCTTGAGACAGAACGTCGATTGTATAAGCCAAATCAGAACTACACAATTAATTAGAGTCTATTAATTTAACTCCTAAATAATTCAGACTGTAATGTTGATTACATCACTTTCAATGGAATGCTTTGACTATGCTATGAAAGCAATGGATCTAAACTTGTCGCTTTCAGGTTCAGAGATATGAGTTTGATTTGCTCTTCCATCCCCAAAACTTTAAAAGTTGAATGAATACCCATTTCACAATGCATCCGCATAAAGAGATATAGCCTAGAGAAGCCAAAAATGGATTCTTATTAGAGAATTAGCTGAGTGGTCTCTTGATAAAAAGAAATCGCTTGAACTCTTTCTGTGGAGAATGGAGATTGTAGAGTTTGCTTGGATGGAAGATTCGATGAGGTGATTTTATAAAGAAGGAGAAACAGAGGAAGTTAAAACGAAACCATCAAGGAATGAGTTAATAACATAACTGATTGAAGGAGAAAAGACTTTTCTGGATTGTGATAACGATGAATTGCAGTGATTCCAAACGATGAAGAAGATTGACCAATAATTACTTTCATCGGAGCTTAGTGTTTTTCTAAGATGGGGTTCAAGTGGGCCACTGGAAATTATTATTGGGTCAGAGGCGTGGTCAGACATTCATACATGTTGACTTAAGCATGTTATGACATGGCAGAACAAAACATTTTTATTCGCTTGAATTAATTGTTGACGTGAATTCTTTTTTTGTTGAGGATATCTCCTTTTTAGTATTGTTAGATGTTAAGTGCGCTATAATTTATCCAAGGATAATGATGAAATAATTAAAACATAAAAGCCTCCTAGAAGTTTAATATTATACTATATTTATATTAGTTGTAAAAAGCATTCATATTTATGTAGGTTATTGAGTTATGATGTCGGTGTATCTTGTTCATTTTGTTTAGCGTCTTTTTTCTAACTATCAAGTTGTAATAATTTTTTGATATATATATTTTTTTACTTGGTAAACTAAACAATTAAGTATAAAATATTAGAGTAACTTGTTAAGATTGTTTGTATTTTATTAAATTATATTATAAATTTTGTGATTGCAATTATATTTTATATTTATTTTTTTAAATAAATTATTTAGAAAGCAAAAAAAAAGACAAAAAATAAGAGCTTTAACAATTTTATTAACAAATGTCATTTTTAAAATTGAATTGGGTTCTTTGGTTTTTGGCAATTTTGTTTTCATTTAAAGTTATTGGACTTTAAACCTATATTGAATTCCATGTAATAGCAAAACTACAGTGTTTTAATTACAGTGGCATTCTATTGTTATTTTTGAAGAAAACTAAGGGTTATTTCTATTTTGTACTTCCCCTTTAATAATTTAGATGATGAAAGAAAAAAATAGTTTTAGTTAACCATGAGAAAACAATTACTTGTAGAAAACTTCATAAATAATTTATAAGAATATATGATATATCACTTGTAAATACACATATATTATATCACATGTAAATACACACATATAACTTATAAACTATGTATATAATGAATGCTTACATATTTTATGACAGAGAAACGATATAAACTCGCCACATTTTATAATACTCCAAAGCCGGTTTCACGATATATTGGAACCGTCTATGGAACTGGTAAATCCCACATACTATTTTATGCGTTTCACGTCGGAACAGTGACACTGTATTTTTTTTTTTTTTTTTTTTTTTTTTTAACAACTTAGCTTTATTAATAATATTGTCAAGTAATTTTACAAATACATACTACATTGTAATGAAAATACAACAAACAACATAGGTAAAATGATGAAATAAACAATAGAATCCATGTAAGAGAGTCAGAAGATGATACTCTTACAGAGGGCTTTATTAACAGAGTATCGACTCTGTCAATTTTCCTGCGATCTTTAAATCTTTGTCGCATTAGAAACATCGATTCTCTTTGTTGTATTACACTGGTCTTAATCCAATTCAGATCTATATATATTCTTTGGTTTAGAATCCAATATATTGATTCAACCATAAGAAATAAAGATTGGAAAACCCAGTTTTCAACGATTGTAAGAATATCGCCATACAACAAAGAGATTAAAATTTCACTTTTGTGGTGTTGACTCTTCCATGGCGGTTTTCTTGGTGGACGTTGTCTCCATAGCAAATCACTTGATTCGAAAATCAACATAATTTGATTGGTTGTCTTGTCATCGATCATGGCCATCAAAACCATCTCGGAGATTGCAACATCGTATTGAAAGAAAGAGAGACTAACCTCCAATCCGCTGTAAATGGAATTCTTCTCCAGTAAAGAGAGGAATGAAAGACACGTAATCATCAAAAATCTGATCAGATTGATCATAATTATTGAGCAAGCGATTCAGAGAAGAATCGCGTATCCCATCGCCAAATAACCGTCTGTAACCCTTTCAGTACTTATATTTATGAAATTGTTTATGAACAGTGACACTGTATATGTATTGTAAGTCGTGCATACACGTTCATTACACACCAAAAAAAAAATCTAATTAGAAAAGTAATATTTTTTTGTCAGCGCTATTAACCTATATAAACACATGGAACTACTTTTCAAAACTTCACTTGCTTTTTCTACAATCCAACACATAAACAAAGCAAGCACAAAAAAAAGAAATGGCTTTCTCACGCCTTTCATTTGCTGCTTCTCTCGTTGTCTTCTCATCTCTAATCATATCCTCAGTTGCTAATTACGGTAATGAAGTCAACCCCGCGACCGGAAAGTTTATTCCTGTTGCCGTGGAAGGTGTTATCATGTGCAGGTCTGGTAACAAATCTTACCCAATTCAAGGTAAATATTGCTTCTTTAACTTGTAACCATGAAGAAATGTAAATTTGACAAGAATGTCGTATCAATGGTGTTGATTCTGAAAGTGATTTCAATTTCACTGCACCAGTAAACGATAACTTTTATGGGTCGCAAAAAGTGCAATTACTTTAGAAGAATGTTCTTTAAAAATAAAAAAAATTGAATATCTGGTTTTGAAGTTTTGTATTTGTATAAATACAGGTATACAAAAGTTATAATTTATTAATTCATACAATCAGTTTACAAATCCTAAAACCGGTATTTACCTCAAGTGTATTTTCCCTTTGAATGTTTTTTTTGTTTTTTTGGTGATTGATTTGCGTTTGTTGACAACAAATTATTTGCTTATGACAGGTGCTACTGCAAGAATTGCATGTGTGAAGACAGATGCATATGGCAAAGAGATTGTTCCAATTTCAATAATGAGTAGCAAAACGGATGCTAAAGGTTACTTCTTTGCCACGTTATTTCCTTCACAGCTACGTGCAGGAAGGACGGTGACAAAATGCAAAGTTTTCCTTTACCAATCTCCAAACGCTGATTGTGATTTCCCAACCGATGTGAACAAAGGTGTGAGAGGACAGTCATTGAGCAAGTACCGTGTTCTTGAAGACAAGAGTTTCAAGCTTTACTGGGCTGGTCCTTTCTTCTACACCTCTGAACCTACTTACTACTAAACAAGCTTCTTTTGATTGACGTGAAAATCAAATGTGTTCTTTGAGAGTCTTTTGGTCTTGTTTGATTCGTTAATTGTCTGAAAATGAGCCGAGACTTTTCATGTATTTTATGATGTCTTTCTTGGAAATTGTAAAATATCTATATAAACCGTGTTGTGAATGAAGTACATTCAATTTTACTCTTATGTGCAAGTATAAGGTTTTACCTGAGTGTATGTACATATTACATTGAATGTTCATCCCACTCTCTGGTCTTTATATACAATGACCTGGATTTATTGAACACAAAACATCTAAAAAGAATTGGACTCTTTTTATGTTTTCAAAACAAAATATGATACTATATATTTTTTCCAAGAATATTATAAGAGCTCTCTACCTCTACTTTGAGCAACCAGACTCTTTCTCTTTTGTCAAGTTTGCTTACCTTTTCCAGAGAACATGACAAAACTTCATGGCCAAGAACATGTCCTTTAGCTTTAACATTCAAGAACTTGAGTATTATCTGTTGATTTTGGCCAGCTGCAACCACTGGACCATCCCAATACACCCAAGATTAGGTCCACCTTTGTGCAAACGCTAACCTGGGAGTTACAATACATGGAGACAGTGGTTAGGTTTACTGATCCAAAACCTATAAAAGGGACTAAAACGATAGTTCTAGAAATTGGGACATGTATATTATATATTACCAAACTTTCAATATTTGCTTCTATTTGAAACAACATTACTGCTAATCCTCTTCCTCTGTCAATCTCAGCCTGCAAAAAAAAAGCATGACATTTCTCAGATGAGTCGTTTAGAAACTGTAATACTTTAGAAGTAAGGTTATACAGTTAAAGCACGCACCACACAAGAACATACTGCGATTCCTTCAGCTGCCAGGACTGTTGTAACCTCTGCGATTATGCCTGAGAAAATATGACAAAGAGTTTTGTTTTGACTCTCTCAACAGAGAAAAAAAAAGAGAAGTGGTTTTAGATTCATGAGCATAAAGAAAATAAAGAACATTACCTTTACGATCCATGGATACAACACATAACCAGTCGATAGAGTGACCTTCCAGATTATGCCATGAGTCGATTTTACTGGCTCGCCAACTCTCTAAACCGGGCAACACTTCTTTATAAGGAGGGATGTTAGCAGGAAAAATCTTGGCAGTTCCATCTCCCGGTAAGAAAAACTCTGAATTCTCCAAACTCGAGTTTTTGATGGCTTTGTTGTGTTTCCCATTCACCTTTGGGACCCAAACGCTCCCATCTTGAGAAACGGGTGTTGCGTTTCTGCTTTCGTCTTGTGACTGAAACTGCTTAACATTAACGAGAATTTTCTCCCACCACTGTAGGCTCTTTCTTGAATCTTCTGTGAGATCTTCCAAGTCACTGTCAGAGTCCGCCACAAAGTCATTCACTCGATCCTGGGTTATTTCTGCAGCACACTGCGCAGCTTGCTCCCTTAGGAACTGTAAGAAGTTGAGGAGGTATCAATAAGTAACAGTAAATCAATTAGCAAGCGTAAGAAAATAATAACATACCCTCATAATCTTGTGTCTTGCACTCCTTGTTTTAGCATGTTGCAACCACTGTTTATGTCTCTGGAAAGCAGATTTACTTGAGAGGGCCTGTGATGTGACAATAATAATAATAAACATGAGAGCTCATAGAACCTAGGTATTAGAGCATGATAAAGGAAATCAAAAATATTCCTAAGCAGGATAGAAAGAAAATGAGAAATGACAAACACATGCAAGAGAGAAAAGGTACGAACATTGTAGGTGAGTATCTCCACGACCTCGGCATTCTCAAGAACGTGCGTTGGAGAAACCAAATTACCATTCACCTACAGTTTTAAGAAACCAACTATCCTTAACCTCTTAATAAGAGTTTTAAGAGGCTCTTATACAGTTGTCTGTATTCAAAGATCATAGATAGAGAATTCAAAGATAGCATGCAAAGAATGACAGGAAAGTGGAAAATACCTTTGCTGCTACCATTTTGTTTCCGATTTCCGTGTGAATTAGATAAGCGTAGTCAACAACGGTGGCCCCTTTAGGAAGGTTCTTTATCTGCAAGTAGAAATACTTAAGCATCTCAGCAAAGACGTGAAAATTTTAAAATGGATGATTGCAGAGCTTAGTCTTTACCCCTCCTTTAGGTGTGAACACAAAGACACGACTACCTAAAAGATCCCTCGTAATGGTATCCACAAATTCTCTAGAGCTCATGTTACCCACAAACTCTTCTTGCCATTCCCTAATTGCATTTAGCCACCCGATCTGGAAAATGAAACTGTCACGACATAAATATCACTGCTTACCTCTGGAACGTCTCTCTGCGATTTTTTTTTTTAACTTGAGAGTATGGTAAGAAAATACCCTGAGTGCAAAATCTGCATTGTTGAGGCAACCTGTCTTCCCCCTTGAATGTCTACCTACAGGAACTGGACTTCCAGCAGAAAGAGCCCTGCCATTATAGTAAACAGCAATCCCCCTTTCTGCTATCAAGTCCATCTCCTCGGTTCTGATCTGCAGAGAGAAATGTCGTTTTAGTACCCAATCAAATCAGCCTTACACATGACTCAAACTTTTAAAAAAAAACTAACTCAAAATGTAATTGTATTTGGCGTTGTCCTAAGAACTGTGGTTAAATAATATCATCAAATACCTGAACCTCCAGCCGGAACATACTCTCATACAAGAACGGAATCACAGTAGTATGGAGGCTCTGGTAGCCATTAGGCTTCGGTGTCGCAATGTAATCTTTTACCTGTAACAAAAAGTAATTCATATGCTCTGATGTGATGTAGTGAAAATATATCATGAACGCACAGAAGATCAGATACATACAGTTCGGGGAATGGGTTTCCAGATCTCATGAACTAGCCCAAGAACATGATAGCATATCTGCATTGATAACAGAGATGAGGAAGTTAAGTGACACACCAGAACGTATCTGAACAAAAGATACCCGCTTCCTTTTCGTTTGCGTTTCACCTGTTGTGGACTGCATAAAGGCCCGACCCCCACAGAAAGTTTTGGCTTTACAACAATCCTTAACTGCTAAAATAAACAATTTTAGAGAAGCAATATTAACAATCATATTAGGATGGCAAATGGAAGTTCTGTATTCGAACCCTCTGATACAACTCGGAGATTATTGTACACCACAAACCTGAGCAATCTGGTTGTAATCATTAATTGATCCTTTTGATTTGAGCGCAGCTTTGTATATGCTGCATGCAAAAATAAGAGACTTCAGAAGCTGAAGAAAAGGGTGTGTTACAAAGTATAATGAAGAAGTAACTTGACGGATTCACCTGTAAGTTTCCTTGCAAACAGATCGAACATCAGTATCCACAGTAACAAGGTCCAAAAACTCATCATCTTCAATCTTCTTCACCAAAATTCTATTTGCCTAAGATACACAGTAGACTCTGTGAATACAGATGGATGAAATAAACGACCAGATGACTTCACATCTCGAAAAGTCAGAGTTTGTAAATTGATGATGAACATCTTTCTCCAATTTTTTTTTCCCTTTTCAATCAACGTTTTGACAAATAACCTAATAGTCAATAATAAGTTGAAGTTACCTCAGTGAGTTCCTTCTCATGCTCTTTGTAGAGGTTCGCGATCCTGCTTGTGACTCTCTCATAATCCTCAGCACTTACGTACATGAAAGATAAATTTTCCAGTTCAGACTGCAAGATTAGAAGCACAAAACTCAGAACGCCGAGGGGCACAACAGTGAGATAACTCTAGCTTTCATATACACTAAAATGCATTTCAACTGATTTGACCAGAAAACTATGCTACCCCATGGCATAATATTGTTTTAAGAATAATAGGGAACAAAAAAAGTAAGGGTTATACCTTTATTGAATACATTCCAAGCAATTTAGCTAAAGGAGCAAAGACCTGCAAAGTCTCAGCTGCAATGCTGGACTGAACGAAATTCACGAAATCATTAGTTATCACAAATGAAACATACAGATGAGAGCGGTGCACAAATCTCAACTACTTGAAGGAATCACCTGCTTATGAGGAGGCATGTGGCAGAGAGTTCGCATATTATGCAACCGGTCAGCTAGCTTTACGATAATGACGCGGACCTGAAATGAAGCAGTTAGTCTGCTGATGAGTAATATAACCACAGTATCACACAAGTTGAAACACAATCTTATAAAATCGAAACCTCGTCTGTCATTGCCAGAAACATCTGCCGCAAATCATCTGCTTTAACATCTTGAATTGATTCACTTTCGGTTTTACACTTCAATTTTCCCAGTTTTGACACCTAATAAAAAAGATCTTTTATGAATAGATGGAACTTCATGTCAAATGAAACGTAGAGCTGTTTCTATATACGGTTAGCTAATAGGAAAAATACAGTAGCACACAAATATGCAGACCTTAGTCTCCCCTTCTACAATGTGACGTACAGTTGCACCAAACTCTTGTTCTATCTTTTCAAAAGTAACAAAATTTGTATCCTCGACCGTGTCATGAAGTAATCCAGCAACAATAGACTCCCAATCCAATTCCTAAACAAGAACAAAAACAACTTAGCAAGCATTCCAACTTATTCTCCAGTGAACCATATTCATATTGTGCTACGCAACTCACAAGTTCCCCAAGGATACGAGCAACTGCAACTGGATGTATAATGAAGGGCTCCCCACTACGTCTCTTTTGACCATGATGTGCCTCAAACGCTAACTGCACAGACCTTTCTTACTGAATTAAGAGACGAATAATAGAAAACTGAAATATAGGAAACTTATATCATCATACTTTGAGGCCCTTTCCAACAAACTCTAATTCTTTAGAGGATAAGTAAGATATCGATGGGAAAAGGTCCTGCAGAGATAACCACCCATCAAAGTGATTAAAAGAGTACTGTGGTAGTCAAGTGGGATTAAAAATGAAGAGAGGAGGCAGGGTCTACTACCTCCCATAATGTTTGGACAGTAACATCCTCAGAAGTACCAGAAGATTCAGATGAAAAGCAATATAGTTCACATCTTTTATGACCACCACCACAAGATGATGTGGACCTCAAGACTTTCCCCACATTTACAAACTCAGAAAACCCTACTTCATATGCATAACTCTGCCAGAGGAGTGCCCGTAAGGAAAATTTGGATAAAAGTTGTAAGTAGAGTCACCATGGCAACACGGAGAAGGTGAAAAGAAAAGAAGTAGAAACCCAATTTGGGGGACTTACAGATTGTATTCTAGTCTTTCTGGCACATAGAAAGAGAGGAGTGGTAGCGAGAAAGCCAGTTAAGGCCCTAGGAGCTTTCCAAGCGCAGGAGAGAGCACTGCAATCACTTCTTAGATTGCCATCTCCTTTGGTTAGATTACATATGTTCACACATTCCACAGACACTGCAAAACAATGAGATATTGACCAAAAATGAATAGATAGGTAAAAAAAAAAAGAGAAAAGTGTGGTCCTTAACAAGAAGGGTTTAGTTGGCACATGAACATAAGCACTGGTCTACAACCTAATCACTCTACAATTAACATTAAAAAGAAAGGAAAAAAACACAGTCGTAAAAGGACTCGTTCTTTTTAGGTGATGAGTGCACGAGAACTAAACTAGCTTTCAAAATGAACACATTCCCGTCGTAAAAGACTCGACTTCTTTCTCCGCTTCTCTCAACAATGGACCTATACTTGCAAGAATCATAGTCCTAAGGAAACATTAGCTAGATGCAGTACAAAACTGCACGCCAATCCAATTGGAGATAAGGACATAACAATCGCCACAAGCATCTCCTAAACACTGCCTTTGAACGTGAGCAAGGGGAAAAAAAGGGAATACGAACCGGACATGGAAGAAGGCATCGCTAATGAGGCGAAGCAATCGTAGTAAACCGATTCACCATTGATTAAACAATTATTCCAAATCTCCAGATTCCGATTCAGAACTGTTTCACACAAGAGGCGAGTGAAGCTTCGGGGAGTTTTCGAAAGGATAGTCTAGAAGAGAGAGAGAGACGCACACAGTGATGTGAAGAAGAGCGAAAGACAGATAATCAACTCTCTCTCTCTCTCTCTCTCTCTCTCTCTCTCTCAGAGGTAGCCCTGCGTCCTGACCACACAAATGTCGTCCTATATAAATATCAATATGACTTTCTTTTTTTTTAACACATCATAATAATATGACTAAATAGAGAAAAAAATGATATTTTCCCCATTTGTGGTAAATGTTAAAAATATATTTTGTGTTTAAATCTAACTAGGTGTTTTGCCCGCACTTGCGGGCTTAATAATTTTACTAATATCTATAAACAAAGATATAATCAATTTAAGTAAATTATAATAAATTATGTGCATACACTCAAAACATTTAATAATAATCTAAACAGATTCTTTCTATATATAAAATTTTTCATCATCATATAAATAATTATCATTGAACAAATTAAATGTGAAATTCTCATAAATTTAAAATATTTAGTAAGAAATTAATATTTTTTCTAGACATAACAAAAATAAGTATAATAAAATTAACTTTAGTAATGTTTTGGATAACACAATATAAATTATGTATACATATATTCTTTGCAAATTGTTTTTTTTCATAATTAAATATATATTAACAAATATAATTATTTTTAAAGGTTAATAAAGACTTTATAACATAATATAAAAAATTTAGATAAGGATAATTAGCAAATTCATGAAATTCGTTTTTAATTTAGAATTAATTATATATTAACAAATATAATTATTTTTCAAGGTTTATAAACATAATATAATTTTTTTAAATAAGGATAATTATCAAATAAATGAAATTCGTTTTTAATTTATAATTAATTATATATTAACAAATATAATTATTTTTAAGGTTAATAAAGACTTTATAACCCAATATAAAATAACAAATATAATTATTTTTAAGGTTAATAAAGACTTTATAACCCAATATAAAATAGTTTTAGATAAAGATAAATCTAAAATCAATTGAAATTCTTTTTTTATTTATGTTTAATTATATATTGAAATTTTTAATTATTCATTAAGGGTATAAACGATATTAACCAGTCTAACTTTTAACGTGAGAGCTCCGTTGCGAAAAATCACTTCGCAAATAATAGTATAGATCTAGACAAGTCTTTTTTTTATCATTTGATTAATTGAATGTTTACATTAATCGGTCAAATATATAACAAAATATGTTGATAAAAATAGATTTAAAGTTTTTTTAGTTATCATAAAATATTTAGAGAAAAAAATCTAACATAGTCTTACTAATAATTTTAAATATTTTTATATAATAATATGATAGTTAATTTCGTGTTAGATATATAATATTACTATAATAGTAATTAGCTATATTATATTATATAAAAATATGCATATTTTATACAAAAATGTTAGCATATTTTCAAATTTTATATCTCTAACTGTATATTATTATTTAATTTGAAAATAAAACCAATATGTTATTTAAAAATTTTTATATACAAATTAAATATAATAGTATCTAATGAACTTTTATTTTCATGTGTTATTTTAAATATAGGGTATCAGAAATAATTTAACATATATTAATGCAATATTTTTGTTTCTTTTGATGAAATTTCAAATTTATTGATCAATCAAAGATTGTTATTTACAAACATAAGCTAATGTAAGCTGCTAAAAAAAATTAATCCTTGTCTCTGTCTTTCACATGGTGAGCTGAAACCATCTTCTGAGTAATCCTCCATACTTATGATCAAACCTGTATTTTAGCGATACGATTCTGTTCCTCACTGCTTTATCAACGTGACTACTCATCAGAGCAGTAGATACTCTGCCTCGTTGGTGACGTCTCCCATTCCTTTCTCTCCATATATGATAGATGACTGTCTGCAGCAGAAGTTTTACCAATATAGTGTCCATTTCGAGCTGCCTCATTCTTTGTATATGTAGCACCGTCCACTGCCAGTCCGGATTAATGCCACTGCCGATGAGTATTCTAGCCAAACTCTCCCAAACTGTGTAGGAATAGGGGCACGCAAAAAAGAGATGATCCCTCGTTTCATTCCTCTCTCCACACAGCTCACAAATCTGGGTCACTCCCCATTGCCGCATTCGATCCCCTGTGGAGAGTTTATTCTTCACAGCAAGCCAAGTAATGAATGAAAATCGTGGGACACCTTGTCGAAACCATACTACACTGCTCCATTCTACTTCAATGCGCCTTGAACGCACTTGTTCCCATGTGCTGGCAGCAGAGAAGTGGTCGCGATAGTCATCACTTCCATGCTTCCACAAAACTAGCCCTACCATTTCTCGGCTGCGGAGGATCCGTTGCTAGTATGCTATTGCGCAGCTCTTGGAACTTGCGACTTCTGCTACCTCTTATTATCCAGTCCTCCTGCAGTACAGCTTCGCTAACTTTAGCATGCCTTCTGATTCCCAAATAAGTAGTACCAGTAGGGCCAGTAATATCAATCAACTTCCCTTGTCCCAGCCAATCATCAAACCAGAAGTGACAATCATCTCCATCATGAACATTAATCCTCAAAAACTCACAAGCCACATTCCGCAGCTTTAATAACTTTCGCCAAATCCAGGACCCCTTAGTATCATCCCTAACATCCCAAAAAGAATTATATTTCAACAGGTAGTGCTTCACCCAACTCACCCACAAGGATGAAGGCTTGGTGAACAGGCGCCAGATTAGCTTCAAAGAAAATACCGTGTTAGACTCCCTTAGCTTCCTGATGCCTAGCCCACCTTCTTCTTTTGGAACACACAAATCATCCCAACAAACCTTCGCTTTATGAATTTGCGTTGGTGACCCTGACCAGAGGAAGGCACTACACATACTCTCTATCTTATCAAGACACTGCACGGGGAGGATGAAAGCTTGGCTCCAGAAATTAACTGTGCTGGCAATGACTGATTGAATCAGCTGGAGTCTTCCTGCAAAAGTAAGAGCTTTATTAGACCAGCAGAGCATCCTACTCCTTATTTTGTCGATCAGAGGCTCGTAATCGTGGCGTGAGAGTGTCTTGGTTGTGAGTGGCATTCCCAAATAGCGGATGGGAAGAGTACCCACTCCTATGCGCAGCTCTTCTGCTTTGGTAAGGAGGCCACTTACATTAAAACCTGATGCAAAAATAGAAGATTTAGCTGCATTAATATGTAGCCCTGACACGCGAGCAAACCTTTCCATAACCTCCAGAACACCGACGAGAGATTCTGCAGTGCCTTTAGTGAAGACCAGAATATCGTCAGCAAAACTCAAGTGGGTAAGTTTAACTCCCTGACACTGTGGGTGGTAGTCAAACTCCCCTGCCTCTGCTGCTTTGTTCAAGAGCTTAGATAGCACATTGTTGATTATAACATATAGATAAGGGGAGAGTGAACAGCCTTGTCTGATGCCTCTCGCACTTGTGAAAAAACCCTCGAGGCTTCCATTAACTGACACGGTGAAAGCTGCAGTGGTGATACACAGCCGTATCCAGTTTACAAACTGAGGAGGCAGCCCCATGGCTAGCAAAACTGAGGTGATGAAAGACCATTTCACTGTATCAAAAGCCTTAGAAATGTCGAACTTGATAGCACATTTTGCTTCAGGCACTGATCTGTGAAAACCACTGACAAGTTCTGAAGCTAGCAAAACATTCTCCAATAATAATCGATCAGTGATGAATGCACATTGGTTGGCTTCTATGGCATCAGGGAAAATGATTTTGAGTCTATTAGCTAGAACTTTGGAAATAACCTTGTATAAAAAATTGCAGCAAGCAATTGGTCTATACTCCTTCATTGTCTGAGCGCTTGTTGTTTTTGGTATGAGGGAGAGAATCGTTGCATTAACACCGGTCGGCATGAATCCAAATATGAAAAAGGATTGTACTGCCACTATGAAGTCCCGTCCTATAATAGGCCAAGCAGCAACAAAGAATTCTTTGGTGAAACCATCTGGACCAGAAACCTTGCCATTAGGAAGCGCATGAAGAGCTTGATATATTTCCTGCGCTGTAACGGGACCAACGAGAGTAGCTGCAATGTCATGAGGACACCGATACGTCAATAGACTCTGAAGCGAAGCAACTGAAATATCTTCTAGAGTAGCGTCTTGACTCTGCAAAAAATTCTGAAAATGCGATACAGCTTCTTTCTTAATATCATGATCTGTTGTAAGAACCTCTCCTTGCCCATTGATCAAGCTTCTAATTGTGTTTCTAGATGTCCTTGTTTGCACCACTGAGTGAAAGAACCTCTTGTTTTGATCCCCAACTTGCAGCCAGTTAACACAAGATTTCTGCATAAAAAACTTCTCCTCTACACTTGCTAATCTACTCCACTTCTCCTCCGCTATAGCTGCTGTAGCGATGTTTTCAGGACTAGGATCATGAAGGACTCTATTTTGGCATTCACAAAGGTCCTCATAGGCTTGCTTTGTTCGCGCTGGCAGGTCCCCATAGTGTTCTTTATACAAAGCACGAAGAGGCTGCTTGAGAAGTTTGAGCTTCTTGTGAAAACGAGAAAGAGCTGATCTCGAGTAATATATTGGGTCAGTAGTGTCCCAGACTGCCTTAACCGTAGGTAAGAAATCTTGATGCTCTGCAAGATAATTAAAGAACTGGAATGGTTTGCGAGCTTCATTCAAGCTGCCAGTAGTACGTATCACACATCGCGCATGATCTGAGACTCCCCCTGCTTCAAAGTGAGCAGAAGACTGAGGATATTGAACCATCCAATCACTATTTACCAGTCCAGTTTTTTCCCTATCGGGTCTTCTACTCTTTTATTCCACCACGTAAAGCGAGCTCCTGTATAAGGAAGATCAGTGACCATACAATCAGTGACAACCACCTGGAAGTGAACCATTCCCACTTGATCACTTCTGTAATCCATAGCACGAGAGTGCTCACTAGAAGAAAGTGTGGCATTGAAATCTCCCAAGATAATCCACGGTAGCTGGAGATGGCTGTAAGCCGCTTGTGTACCCCTGAGTTCTTCCCACAGTGACAGTCTTTCCCCTATTGTATTGAATGCATAGATCGCCGAACATATAAATTACTCCTTCGTACTTGGGATTTGAATGG